TGGGTGTGGGTTTGGGTGTGGGTGTGGGTGTGGGTGTGGGTGTGGGTATCGCTTTTAACCTTCTCTTCAGTCATACCCACACCGACACTCATACTCTCGTTACTTCTTCATTATTTTCAATACGTTGAATAATACGATCAATAACTTGTTCAATTTGATAGTCTCTTGTCATTGTTTCAATTATTTCATTATGCCCAATTTGTTGAACTTGATACTGTCTGATCATTGCTTCAATAGTTTCATTATATTCAATTTGTTGAATCATAAAATCAATTATTGTTTAAATACTATTTAATCGTTCGTCAGAGAGTTGTGCATTTAATTGATTTATTTGATTAATATTATCCGTTCGAAGATTAGTTATTTGTCGATAATGAAATCGTCGAAAGGATGTGAGTTATCTGTTCATTAACACCTTCACTCATACACCCACGCCCACACCCTCATCCATAAGAATTTGAATTTGATATAATCTTTCATTAGTTTGTTGATTATGAACCACGACAATTTCATTTGCTAATCCAATTCTTAAATTATCTGATATACGACGTTCAGATATTATAGTTGCATTTAAGTTAAGTATTCGTGCACTATAATATCGACGTAGATTTCGACTAATGGCAAGTATATGCTGTTGATGAGGATTAGCATGAGATGGAATATTCTAAACGATTAATTATTTACTTTATCACAGTACACAAAACAAGTTAAATATTTACATGCACAACAAGATAAACCTTTTGAAGTTTTCTTTTATTAGAGATCGTGCATTATATTAGTATCGAAACGGGATATAATTGAGCATGAACAGGTATACCTCTGTATTTAATGGCATTAATACACCTCTACCACGACTCATTTTCAACAATTCAAAACAAAGAAAAGCAAAAATTAATCTAAAGTAATCGATGTGGGAAGGAGAAAAGTCAATCAGGAAGAAAATAATAGAAAAATCAGCAAATATTTATTATAGAATTAACTATTAAATAAGCAACAGAAAAAAAAATTATCCTAACCTTTTAAATGTAACACATGACAAACCAGTTGACCAAATGAAAATGAAAATAAATAATATAAACACAATCGAATCAAGATGTTTTTTGTTTCAAAATATTTTTGTATACATTTATTAACAGTAGAAGATGAATAAATCAATTATAAACAAGAAGACAGAGGTCGTTCAATGTCCAATCTATAAATCATCTTAAGAAAAATCAAAAACTATTATAATTAGTGAAAATATTTAACTCATCGAATATCAACAAAAACATTAACCCTTTGAGGGCCGGTGGCTCATTTTTGAACCACCTATTTTTCAGTAGAGAAAAGTGTTTATTTCACATTAAACTATTAAATATGTAAGGTCATTAAGATCATAAACAACTGCATTTGTCATCTCAAACTTTTCGTTTCTTTCTTTCCTTCTCTCATATAAATTCTTTTCAAATATCCTTTGTTCTTGCTGCTAAGATACAGTGACGTCATAATTTCTCTCTTCTCCTTTGATCTTTTGTTTTTCGAGAATATTCTCATGCTCTATCCGGTTTATATATATTCCCGTTCTCATTGACGAATTTACATTGTTCTTGAATTTGCAAAGCATATCATTTCTCTTTCGTGCTTGTGTTCTTCATTTCTTTATACCGTTTTTATAATTATAACTAAACAAATAGAATTCTGTGGAAATGATGAAGTCGATGACGAGTCCTGTGATTTATATACCAGTGATGACAGCAGCGAGAGTGACTTCAAGTTTAATTATAATGAACTAGTCGATAACTTAGATGAACTTGAACTTTCTGATGAAGATTTGGATGTATATGCAGAGGAGCTGAATTCAATGAAAAAAAATTCGGTCCTCAAAGGGTTAAGGCTCCAGATAGAGACTACGTTCATTTAAAGTGGATCAAGAAACATGATTGGTGTTTTTACGTAACAACGGGAATTACATTGGGTGTGGGTGTGAGAGAATAAAAGATTCCAACCCGCACCCATGCCACACCCACACCCACGATCACAACGCGGAAGAAGTCCTAATCACGCACGACCACGATCACGCATGATCGTGACCGTGATTTGTGATTCACGCAGAACACTACCCCACACCCACACCCACACTCTATTTTCGAGAGTTTTGGCCAGTATCAAAATTGCTGTCATATTCAGCAGATCTCAACCCTCACGATTACTCTATTCGGTATGAATTACGTCACCAGATAAATTGGAATAAAATCAAAAACAAAAAACTTTTTTTGATCAAATTTAAGCATGTGTTCGAAAATTTCGAAAAGAAGGTGTTCATCGCAGTATTGACTCTTAGATTAAACGAGTTTATTGAATGTTACAAAACCGATGTAAATATATTTTTTAAATGGAGTACATGATTTGAAAGAGCAGAAAATTCAGTGTCGAATTGAACCTAGAATGAACTCTCCAGTATGTTGGAAAATACCCTAAAACAAGCGAAACATTTTGTCCCGTTTATTACACGCCAACCTTCATGTGGATAGGTTAGTCTGTGTTAACAACCAAGTTATGATAGGATAACGCAAAATGTGCTATAGCATATCGTAGATTAACGATTCTCTTTCAAAAATAACTTCATTCAAAATTACTAATTTTCATGCTACTTATTTTAAGATTTCATAATTCAAATTCAAGTTTTCGAATCCGTCCTTGTTTGCAAAATAATTTCAAACAATCATCGAAATTATATAATTTTGCTGGTTTTTCATTGCAGAATTTTTCAAACGTGATCTCAGCATCATATCCACTACTTCCGCCAAGTAAACATGTACAAAATCTTTCAGGTATTTGACAACAAGAAACATTCATTGAAAAACTAACGAAATATCCAACACCTATGTAAGAAGTGGCACTGCTAATCAATTTTGATGATCGTTCTTCAGCATCTTTGAGTTTTTGTTTAAGGTTTTCTAATGGATGAATTTCTCCCACTTGATTGAGACGTTGTACTTGTTCATCAGTAAGTTCAAGCAGTTCTTCTGTAGTTTCATATGTAATTGATGATGGTTTACTTTTTGATGAATCTGAATCCATGTTCATACTATTCCCAAAATAACTATGTTCTACAATAAAGATTAACGTTCACGTATATAACCAAAATATTTTTCAAAAGAAGATAATCATGGTAAAGAAAAATTTTCACTTTGCAAAGTCTTTTCAATCTTATTTTCTTTATCTTACGACGAAGACAACATGTTGATATATTTTTTGTTTATAACAAAATTAGAAAACATGATCTATTGCTGGTATAGAATAAAGTTTCTCGGACAATGAATGATTTGCATATGCCTATATATTTAGAGTTAATAATTATGTGTTCAATGCTAAGCACAAAGTCTTCTATTTTGATATTTAATACGCTTTTTAGTCTTTGTTACACACTATAAAGAAACCATCCACGAATAAGGAGGAACAAAGCGTTATTTCTAACCTTTTAATACCAAAAAAGCAAAATACTGTTTATAATACTCACATGCTTTATAAAGAGAAAAGAACTCAGGCTATTATTGATGTCTCTTTTATCTATGATAACGTTTTTATATTGTGAAGAGACCATGGATACAAAATAATAGAAGTGAATGCAAACAGAATTTTTACGTATACTTGACGATAAAAAGAAAAGAAAACTTTTATTATATTCTTAGGATGACGATATAAATCAAATTCTTATTCATAAGTGGAGAAAGTAGGAATGTAGGCGTGAATCTTTGTGGTACAGCAGTAATAGATCTAGAATTAGAAGCGAATTCATGTATATTCAGCATTATAACGAGGGTGTGGGTGTGTGGGTGTGGGTGTGGGTGTGTGGGTGTGGGTGTGGGTGTGGGTGTGTGGGTGTGGGTGTGGGTG